GTGAAGTTGTACCGATGACAAACAATCAGCAGTTAGGAATTTTGTGAAAACTTGCATAAGCTGGGTTGCCGCATTTTTCACAGCCAGTCCAATTTTAAATGATCACTCTTATTGGGCTGCCGAGTTCTCTTGATAAGTTATAGTCATGATGAATGTCCATTATCCCTGAGTGCCATCAAGCCTTTAATGAAATCCTTTGAAATTCTTGTGCTGCCTGATGATTTGAGTTTCTCGAGTTCTGATTCGAAGTCTTCAGTTAAGTTTTTCATTTTATTTCGCGTCTGACGGGTGAAATTTAGTGAGGCGGCTGAGACCTGATGTTTGGGTCCCGAACTTCGTAAGAATGAAAGAAGTTAAGTTCAGAGTACTTTACGATATTCTTGGGGGCGTTTTTCAAGAAGATTATCTGTTGATTTACGTTCGAAAATCTCGAGGACGAACTGGATTTAAATTACCTTGTCTGTTCCGGTGTTCCCCGACGCGAAATGGACCAGTTCCTCCTCATTGCATGTTGTGCTTGTTTGTCGTGAATTCCCCGTAGCTGAATAAGTGCGTCGTCTGGAAGTGTATCTGTGGCGGTGATCTCAGTTCATTACCATGAATTGTGAGTTTGTGACTTCTTTTGTTTTTCCTTATTCAATACTACCTTTACCTTTGAATTTGTGAACGTGAGCGAGAGGCTGGTTTCTTATATCGTACTGTAATTCTCTTGCCTTTATGCGGGAGTTCACGTGAGTGAATGCCTAGCGTAACACGCGATGTCTGCCGTGGTGTGTTCTTTTCTTTTTATTTCCTTCCAAGGAAACGAGAAAGTAGGGCACATTTTTTGGCACTCGGAATTCTTCCGAGAGCTGGAAGAGAACTGCGTGGCTGGAAGTCTCGGAATAGGAATGTGAGGGCCGTCTGGAGGTTTTTAATGCATTTTTTGGTCTACATGATGTCTGGGCGTTCTGGGAAACGTGCGTTGGGGGATGAACCGTTGGTAGTAAATTCCGTGTATGATTTGGCGGTGGAACGATGGTCTATTTTTATTTTTTTTTACTGTAATTTAAAAATAAATTATATGCGTCTGCTGTACGCGAATGTTGAACGATTTACGTCAGCTCCCTTCAACTGACGAACCTTATACTGCATTGTACTCGGTTTTCATTTTGGTGATTTAATGTTCGCAAATTTTTCTGACTTTCTCTCCTGGAATTTCCTGAACTCGAGACAAGTAAATCTGGAAAAACAGGCATGGATTTCTTGAATGGATTCGTTTATTTATGAGATTCTACGAATGGGGAAATTCAATTGGTATGTGCGGAATTTGGGTCCGAAACTTATGCATACAATATTGTAACTTCTATCGCTGAATGATTTGAAGTTTTCAAATATTTTTTGTTCCAGCACTGGCTTCAAATCGCTTGGTGTTCTCGTTATTGTTGAAATATGTGCCAATTTTTTTACGCTTGCCTGCTAAGATTTTCGAAAGCTCATCGCAAGTAAGTACATGGAAAAACTGGCCTAGATTTCGTAAATGGATCAAGTTATTTCGCAACTACAAAAAAAAATTTGGAGTAATTTTCAGGCGAGAAATCGTCTTCAGGAAGTTCCTGCGAAACCAAGAACCCGCCATAGAAAAGTCACCCCATGTCCACCCCTCGGATGAGAGATTCCGTGATGCTTCCAGATGGCTCAAGGTGACAAGAAAATTCGGGAGAATTTTGATTTTTCTGCGTCGCAAACAAGTTTTTTGTCCTTTCCTTCTCCTTCTCTCGTCTGTTTTGCAAGTCCACGTGTCGCGAAAAAAATAATAAGATGGGCGTATCGACAAGGGATCTTAGCTAAACGCTTTTTGTTCCGCTTATCACTATAGTGTGACTTGTCTTGCTTGCTCAAAGGTGGCTGGGGTTAAGCTTCCGCGCAGTTCTGAAAAAAACATGGGTTCTCGTGTCAGTGAGTCATTTTCCAGCGTAAAATGACTGGTATTCTTTTGAATAGATCGTTTTTTTTTTTTTGGTCTTTCACAGACTTTTTACTTCTCCGTTGTTGAAAGGAAGCGAAACCGCGTCTTCTTGAAACATTCCGAGTATTCCATGATAGTTTTTTCTTTAATTTAATGGGTCTCAATATTCCTGTTGTGAGAAATGTGGTGAATTCCTTTGAGAGATGCCTTGAATTGTTATTCTTCTGGGCTGCTTCTTGTGTTCATTTCGAAACGGCGGGTTAAAAAACCCAGTGTAAGTGAAAATGTGTAAAACTATCTTCGGTGTTTTTATTTCGTGCCGTGCTGTGAAGTGTGTGTGTATGTAAGCAATTGGAAACTCGACTTGCCGTAACTTACTTGATACTGTTCCTGTGAAAAGTGACTGATACGTTGTTTTTTAAAATATTCAAAAGGGATGAATTTGTAGAAATGTTATATCCTAGCTTGACGAGTGAAAACCGCGATTTGTTGCAAGAGCCTCCAAGTGAAAATCGGTGGTTGTGCGTGTGACATCTCTTACTTTTGGACTTTGATTTGGTCATATTTCACCTAAATTTTCTTTGGTTTTCTTTTTTTTTGAATCAGGGGCGTTTTTATTCGTCTTTTTTTGAGTTGTTGAACCGCGTGTTAGCTTTCTCCTTTAGTTTTTCACTTCCGGAAAATTTCGACGAGTAAACCAGGATGCCACCAGCACCAGAAAGTGAGTTTTTGCAGTTTTCCAGACTTTTGTTTAGTTGAAAAGTTGAATTTCGTCTTGTTTCTTGTGTGAATCGATTTCCGGTGAAGTGTCGTAAGGCATGTACTGTATTCGAGTTTGGCCCGGGGAAAAAGCTTGTCGTTTACGATAATTGTTTCTGGCTTTGAAAAACCCGAGTTTTCGTTTCCTCCGTGATGTCTTTTCCACTTGTGTTATTCGCGCAGAAAAATTTCGTTTGTCACGTAAAATGTCAGAGATTTGTGAAATTTCATCGGGCGTGTGCTAAGCGAACGTTGAGAAATTTTGGAAAGGTTCCAGGGCAGCTCATCTAAAATATTTGTGCAAGAAAAACGTTCGTTTCCGGCTGACCGCGCTTTATTTGCGATCCTCTCGTGCTAAAACATAAATCTGCTTGTGTGAATCACGCGAGTCCTTGATGCATGATATTTTAATTTCTGGCGAGGATTCTTCATCTGCTTTTCTGGGAATTTTCGTACTAAATTTCTATGCATTGGTACCATTATTGTGGTCCATGTTTTATGATGCGAAAATTTGATTTTTTCAGCATTTTTTTGAATCAGAGGTTTTGCAAAAAAATGTAAGTGACTGAAAATTAGTTCTGTATTAAATTTGTAGGGAAAATAATTCCCAAATTCAGTTCCATGACACAAGCATTGAAATTCTGACACAGTATAATTGTAGGTCTTTGACAAAATTTAGGTGAGGATTATTTGAAATTTGATAGAGGGCCTTTCAGTTTTCTTAAACAAGTCAGTAAAATGAAAATGCGGTTATTTTTCCAAACAAGGATGGTCAATCATTGACATGATGGGCTGAAATATTTAAAATGAAGTGGGGGAAATGTTACTGAGGCAACCTTTTAATTTTCATACACAAACATGGAATACGCATCTAAATTTAAAATATTTTTTATCCAGATCTTGAGCTGGAAATTGGAAGTGGACATCTTACTCAAGGGCAAATGGTACTCAAGGATTGTAAATTCAGTACTCGACTTTTCAGTCCAAGATCATGATAATGAGCTGCTTGAATTACCATTGCTGCAGATACATTAATTATTAGAAACATTCTACACCATTATACCAGGCGTTTGTGTTGAACAATGTCAACCAGGAAGTTTCTTAAGAATGAAGATGTGAAGTGGGGCCCTGAGATGTGGACATCATTTGTGCATGGACCTTGTCCTTATGTCAGAATGTCCACATTTTGGATCATGTTTTCCCTACTTCAATGGAAATATATTAAATGGTCCTCCTGTGGATCAAACAATGGGAGAGAGGCCTTCAAAAAATTGGATAAATTATTATTTTTCAACTGTAAGATACAGAAAGAGTGCGGAGGAAACTAGGCATTATCTGATCCTTTACCATGAGAAGGAGTTAAAAAAGAAAAACAAAGTTTTATTATGAACCCAGATAATTGAAATAACTCTGAAAAAATAAGTACAAAAATTAGCCTGTTTCTGATTACAAAGTGTAGTGAATTTATTTGGAAATTTCTTTCAATTTTTTTGATTATAAAAAGCTAAATTATTCAAAGAAATAACATTTTGACAAATGGATTTTTTTCCATTTGTCTTGAAATTGTGAGGAAGTGTCTGGATGTTGGGGCAGATTAAATTGGGACCCTGAGATGTGGACATGATTGGTGCTTGGACCTTGTCCCTATGTTGGAATGTCTCAATTTTATATTGGGTTTTCCCATACACTTTGATGGGAACATATTGAATTGGTTGACCTGTTGATACAAAATTTGGATTAAAGTTGCAAAAAATTGAATGGAGGTTTCTTCTCAACTTCAAGATACAGAAAATGAATGTACAGAGAGAAAATGGAAGAGGATCTCTGATTTTTTGGCATCATAAGCCTCTCAAAAAGCAATTCTTGCTGTACTGTGCACACATGATGAAAAAAAATCAAAAGAAGCGCAAACTTTGCCTGATATTTTTATTATGAATTATAGTAATTTTACTATGCAAATTTTGGATTTTAAAATTTAAATAGCTCAAGAAATACAAGAATTATTTCTAAATCGAAAATATAGCACACAAGATGGAAAGATCACTGAAAAAATTAATTCATTATAAATGAGCACATTTTCTGCATGTTTTCGATTATGAATTAGGTTAACTTTATGCTGAAATGTATTTTTATAAAATTTTCAATTTTGTAAAAGTGTCCGTATCTTGAGTAACTGTCCCATTTGTTTCAGTTCCATGTGCCACTAAGTTAAATCTTCCATATGTTTGGGCATCCGTATGTTCATGTCCCATTGTATATGAGTCATCAAGTGTCCATAAGTCATTTCGTCCACATGTCGGAGCCCCCGCTGTTTTCTTTATTTCCCTCTTTTCCTGTTGGTAGGACTTATTCGTTTGCCAGCTTAGAGTATAAAGCCGCAGGCAGTGATTGCGACTTCGTATGCGTGCAGCGAAGAAGAGGCGCCGTCTGGGTTGACGCCACTGCGTCGCCCCGACCAGATGCTTTAGTTATTCTCAGTGGTGGTGGCGGCGGCGGCGACGTGGAGAGAGAGAGAGAAAGGCGTACCTACCTTGAACGGGCCTCTGGAAAGTTGACGCCTTGCTCAAGGCCAAATCGGGTGTCTCATGGGTTGCAACTGGCGCCTGTTGAAGGATTTCTGCTCCTGGCTTGTCTATGTGTACTTTGTTCCCATTGCCATATAAGATTCCTTCTGTTGATTGATTCATTGTGAGGTAGATTATTTCAGGATTATGGAATTAATGGATGACGGAACCAGAAAGAAGACAACTTGACGATTTGGAGGCATAAGCTTGAATGCAAAACATGATATATTTTCAGATGAAGTAAAATCTCATTACAACAAACTTGTGGGGACTTCAAAAAAGGTGTTTACTGCATATGAATAATTTGTTATGACAAGTTTTTCAAGTTTTTTGACTGATTGGAAGATTTTTTAAAATTAAACTTGCATATACAGTAGTCAATATCTTCCTTTGTGGCTTTTTCAGCTTTTCAGTGTTCAAAAATGTGTGATCTCCAGAAATGAATTAAAAATTTTAAGAAAAATTCATTCTGAATACAGTAATAGGTGAACACTAGCACTAGAAAACTTTTCAAAGCAATGCCTTCACAGATTTGTAAGGGTGAATGTTCCAAAAAAGCTTACAAAGATTAAGCATCAGTAGGGTTTTCTGAAGCATACAAACCCCTTTTAACCATGAGTATGGTTGAATGGGATCTCTGTTGACCCCCCCCCCCTTCCAATTTTTCCCAACAAAGGAAAATATTTTGAAAAAGAATATGTTCAGGTGAATTTTGAAGAATTTTTTTTATTCCACCCTATGTCCCAAGAACATGTCACAGTCCCACTTGAATGGGAAATTTGAGACCATGCCTGCCTTCATTTGGGATTTTTCATGAAGATATCGTATTGTATTCCCCAAAAAAGTTTGTCTTACTGGAATTGGCAAGTTTTGTTGTAACAAGATTTTTATAACATTTACCCTGTAGGATTTCTGCATGGACTGTGAAAAAAGTTTGTTCTACTGAAAATTGTTTTGTAACAGTATTTTTTATAACGAGATTCAACTGTATAACCTCTAACTCTCCCTTCATTAGATTGGATCCATGCATGATTAAACTAAACCATTTCCAGATGAATTTTTCAACATGAACCAGGTTTCTTTTTAGATTGCATGGCAATTGCTTAATTGTAATTGGTTACTCACCAATACTGTATACCATGCTGGGTATTTTTCAGCAGAAAATTATTCAGCATCAAATTCAAGAGTGGGACCCCAAGATGTGGACATAATTTATGATTGGACCCTTCTGTATATACCTCTTTTTCCCATAGTTTTCAATGAGATATTTTTCATTGGTTCTCCTGTGGATGAATAGTTGAGAAAAAAGTCCTTCAAAAAACTGAATAAAATATTTTTTTTCAACATCAAGCGACAGAAAATAAATGTGCAGAAGAAAACCACTGAGAATCTGATCTTCTGGCATCATAAGGAGCTCAAGAAGCAAAGAACAAGTCTTGCTATTGTTAACCTAGAAACATTTACACTTGCTGGAGAGTTTATCCCTTCAGCTAAATTGCCCTTTTCTTCCTGGTGAAGGAAAAGATGTTGATTTGACCCTGCAGCTGTATCCTGTTTTGGTTTATCTCTGTGAGCATCACCTGCATTAATGTGTAATGCTTTTTTGAAAGGCAATCACCTACTTTTCTTTTTCTGCTGACAGTGACAAATGTTGGGTGCAACTATTTCTTTACTGATGCCGGATCCAAGAGAAAATTTATCTTGAATGAATACTTGTGTATAGAAATACTCATGAAGCATTTTTGCATATCTTAACCTATGCATTCCTGAAGTTTGTGACTCTTGAATTGAAAACGTAGAAGGAATCTTGGTTTCCCTCAATTCCTTCCATGCATATATATTTACCCTGTTCTTCTGAGCAATCCTCAGAATTAATCCAAGCCTCAATGTGGTTATTTCTCAGGAAGCCTTGTATCTAATTTAGCGAGACTTCCTTTTTCACACACTATCTTGTATTTTATAGTTTTTCAAGAAAGTATCTGAAATACAGTACTGTATACTGTTTTGCACAATGCTGTGTAAATTTTTGTATTTGACAACACTATACTCACCACACATGATGGAAAAAACCAAAATTTACAGACATCCATGCTTGAAGAACAGCAAACTCTGAAGACAAAGAATTAAAGTCCAGCTTTAATCCAAAAAATAAATCACACTTGTTATAACATGGCTTCACAAATGAACACAACTGTGATGAATACAGTTGAATGGCGTTGAAATTTTTTTAAAGTGCAATGACTTGAAACTCTACATGTTGAATTATCATGTGAGAATAAGTTTTACATTGCTTATCCAGTGCGTGAAATCATTAGGTGTTGAATATAACTGTTTTCCACTTGATCTACAAAAATTTCAGAGACAATATTTCTTTAAAAAAAACGCTCCCACGATTATTTTCCCCAAATTTTGTGTAATTTATTTTATTTAATCTATTGTTTGGAAGGAGTTATCTGTGAAAAGAGTACAGGTAGTTTTCCAGCTCTTCTTCATTTGTGCAAGAGAGGCGGAATGCTGATTGTGTTTCAAATTCCCAGAATTCCAAAAACTTCCTCATTTTGTTGAGTAGAGAAAAATTGGTAAATACCGGTACGTAATTAAAAAAAATCAAGAGAGACGATGGTATTATGAGGCTATTTCTTCATTATTTTCCATGCCAAAGCTCTGCTATAACAATTCTTCTGGTACCAACATTTTGCGGTTCATTTTTGGCATATATGAAAAGTTAAAATTGCTCATTCTCTCAGAAAAATTAAATAAAATGTTTTCCAAACCCTCCCTGGTTTGTCGGATCTTTGTTCTTTTTTTGGCTGCTGTTTCTGAAAATTTAATTTTTTTAAGATTGATGATTTGTGAAAGGGTCAATTCATTCATGAGCAAAAAAAAAAAATCTTCGAAATGTACCCTGCTTTAGAATTATATTGAAACGAATAAAAATTTTATCGCAATTTCGGGAACGAGGTCCCCCAAATTTTCCAACAGAAACGTTGCTTTTTTCAATGGCAGACTATTTTGCAGAAAGTTGACAACTCATGAAAAGTTGTCTTTTGGAAACATTTGAGATTTATATCCTTCAGATATTGTGTCCGTAAAAATTTGCTGTCGTTTAAAAGAAAATGAAAATGTATACAGAAATATTATTCCTGGTACTAAAATATTTTTCAATTTAGTTGTAAATAGCAGACCCATTCCAGAAAATGAGTACTGTTTTCCGTATTTTTTAATGTGAAAAAATCAGTACTTTTTTCTGGTACTTGCCGTGTTCATTTCGGGAAGCGCGGAAAAGCCGGGAAGCGACTTATTTTTGAAGTAGGTCAAATCCTTTTCGTTTGTTTTTTGTTGTTGGGGGGGGGGGGGGGGGGTTCAAATTAT